ACAACCCAACGATGTTCGGGTTGGGTTGGGGCGGTGCGGGGTGGGTTGGGTGGTCAGTTTCAACATTCAAAAAATTAAAGACTTAAAGTTCAATATAATATTCAAACTTCATCATTAAATAGAAATAGCAACCATCCTTATCAGTCCGGCGAGAGAGCACCGGAGAAAGTGGGCAAGACGGCGACCGAGAGGACTGAGCAATGAGGCGAGAGTTATGAGGGGGTTCACGAGAGGGAAAGAAGAGGGAAAACTGAAAAGAAAGAGGCAATAAGAGGGGGTTCACGGGAGGGGAGACCGAGAATGAGATTGTGAACCCTAATGTTAGCGAGCCTAGGGTAGAACTTGGGCAGTTCGGCTTGGGCCAAAAGCTTGGGGGTATGTTGTGCGGATTGGGTTGGGGATTGCGGGTTGTTATGGGCCCAACTCGCAATCCGTCCCAAACACTTCGGGCCAGAGGTATAATGAGCCGCAAATTTAAAAATAATGCTGCGGGTTACTTTTTTTGACTTGAATTAGGACATGATGAGTTAAATTTACGGGTTGTTCGGGTTTATGAACAGCCCTAGAGATGAGGATTATAGCACCCCGTGGTTGGTCCTTGTGATCTTAGCTATGCATAGGTCATATCTTCAAACATATCCAGTACATTACGGAAAAGTACAACCTTTTTTTTGTTTTTTTGTTTTTTTTTCACTTTTTTTTTCAGCCTGACATTAAAGCCCGATTAGGATCGGGCTGGACATTTATAAGGTAAATTAGTAAGAAAATAAATAAAAGAAGGAAATTCAGATGAGCCAATCGGAAAATTCTTTTAGGCCCAATCAATCAGTCTTGTTTAGTTTTCCCCATTTAGCTCAGCTTCAAATTGTAGTTCTAACAAAACTAAGTAGACGTTTAGTTCATAAATTTAGAATTATAATTTAAAATTATTTTTGATTTATGTATATTTTTTGTGAGAGAAAATACTATAACAAACCACGAACCATGATTCAAATCATGACACGAATACACTAACTAAACACACCCTATCAATATTATATTGTATCAAGTTTTACTATAAGGTCATTTTGTTCTCAACCCGTCATTACTTTAAAAATACTAAAGTAGTCAATCTGTTCTCAATCCTTCGTTACTTTGAAAATATTAGAGCGTCCTAATTAATACCAGAAAGACCTCAATAACAGAGCGAAAGATTGTTGTTAGGAAATGTTGACGGTAGAATTTCGTCAACAGAATTACGCCGGATTACTACTTGGTATTCTATTGGGTTACCGGCCTGAAATTGTTTATATATTTGGTGTAATACTGCTAAAGTGCTTTTGGTGGTACAGTAATTTAAGAAGTGCGGAAGTGGTGCCTGAATGTATATAAAAGACACGCAAGTTTTATAGTAGTTTACTCTGTTAATCAAGAGCTACATCCACTGTGTATTGTATATCTTTTTTCTCTATTGTTATTACATGAAAAAGATACCCCTCCTCCTTTGGGGCTCTACCCCTTTTATAATATAATGATTACTTTGTGGGTGGTTCTTCTTTGTAGGCCTATCCACTTGAGTGGCCTACTACCCTATGGGCCCAGATCATAGCCTGTCAACACATTTTGCACTGTTCACTCATCTAATTTGTCCCTTATTACGGCTCTGCAGATTCTGTAATCCTCAATTGTCCATTACAGGCAGTCTTAGGGACTCATAATTAATCCCTGCGCTACTGATATTTTTGGAACCAGACGCAACCTGCCTGTGTTAGGGATCTTTATTGAGACACTCCGTAACCCGCTCTCTACCCTCGACGTCTATACTAGGGAACTAGACTCTTCACTTGACTGGCTCTTGTGGAGCTTCCAATGCGTAGGTCATATAGGCATCGACGGTCTTGAGTGGTCAGCGGTCTAAGGATTCATCCGTACGTTTGGCCTTTCCAATCATTCAGAAGGAAAACAAGGCTCATACGTCGACTGTTATCTGTTGTGACAAACATAGAGCCACGTAGAGCGTTATCACCGTCCCATGTGTTAGCGTACATTTTCTCATATAACAGGAAGGTTAATAACTACAATAAATATTCAATCAAAATTAATCGATATCATCATTATTTAGAATGCTCTATTATTCAAATATAAAACATTATGATGCATAATCCGGACTTTTTTTTTTCATGAAATTAACGTGTACATTTTCTTTCTTGGACGGGAATACATACGTTAGTTAAAAACATAAAGAGGAAGGAAAAGACGGAAAGAAAATTAAATTGCATCTCTTTAATAGCAATGCAACGACAAACATTATTGTTGAATAATATCGTGCTACGTGCTTATGAATTTTAGTTGGACTTTAGTTTAAAGTGATGTTTTCCCAATCTTTTTAAGCCATAAAATAAGTTTCTAATTGTTTATGGGGCTATATATAATTTTTAAATAAACAATAAACACACACATAACATATAGGGTGTATTTAAAATTTGTTTCAGATTGTTTTGAAAACATTTTTCATGTATTTTGAGATAAAAAATAAAACAGTTTGCAAACCTTATTTGTTTAACAAATATTTTGAAAACAAAAACAAAAACAAAAATCAATAAGAATAGTTTTTATGAAAGAATTAAAAACGATTAAAAGTTATTTATTTATTTTTTTTGTTTTCATTTTCTAATACTTATCAACAATGTTATCATATATTAATTAATAATTATAACCAAACACGATTTGATTTTTTTATTGTACTCAAAATAACATTTGAAAAAATCAACTAAACGTAATTTCAGAATCGGTCACAGAATTATTCTCAAAACAAATGATTCTCAAAACAATCTCATTTTTACTTTTGTACTGAAAATAAAATCATTTTAAAAATTTTACCAAACGGGCCCATAGTTTTTTTTTTCTTTTTTTTTTTCTCTCTTTCTTAGGTAATCCTTAAAAGTGCATGAGTCTGGATTTTTATCATTTATTCTTGATTCATAACATTTTTAGTCAAATAATTACACTAACAAAAGAGTATTTATTAAAAATAAGAAGTAAAAGTCTAGACTTATGCACTCTCAAATGTAAATTCTGTAATTTTCTCTTTTTTTTTTTTTTTTTTTTTTTTTTTTTTTTTTTTTTTTTTTTTTTTTTACAAACGCTTGAGGGCAGAACCTTAATTAGCTCGTTAGAGAAAGACCTGATGAATGCTATTCAAAAAATGACTCAGACCCTATTTGATTCATGGGTTCTAGCTCATAGTTTTAATTCTGTTTTAATATTTTTTCTCACAAAAAATTTAAATTTAAAGCTCCCACCAATCACTTCTCTCACAAATTACATAATCAAAATTTTTAAACTCATGAACTGAGTACATTTTTTATTATTTTCTTTCCACTACTACATACCCAATGTCGGTCCACATAATTTATTGACCAGGTAAAGTCTAATAATGACTATGAAGTATCCAACAAAGAAAATTATCTCTACTGTAGAAGAAAACGTATAGTTAATTAGTGTTGATCTCCCTCATCAATGTGAAAAGGAAAGAAATTACTCTGCTTTTGTCTAACTATGGGCTTCGTCTCCGAGGGAGAGACTCAAGTTTAATTGTAGCTTTTAAAAGAAAATAAGACAAATACTTTTTTAAATACACGAGTTTAAATTTTTGTTATTTATTTTTTATTAATATCATTTTTTAATTAAATAACTATATTAAGTAAGGATATTAATCAAAATTAAGTGGTAAAAATCTAAACCTACCCTTGTGATAATTTCAGCAATTTTCTCTAGCTTTTAACTGCATGTAACCTTACTAGTTAGAGTACTCCTAAGATTAGTTTGGAGTTCTCCTAGATCTCTGCATCTTGCATTTTGGCCTAATCACAGTTTACACACAGGCATTATACAAATTAGGATAAAACAGTGCTAGAAGATAATATATATATGCTAAATCATATAATACGGTACATGTGAATTAATGTGATGGATGTATCACACATATATAATGGGCCATAATGAAATGTACACAAAGCCCATTTCTAATTCAAAGGCCGATGGACTCTTTCTTGTCTACACATCATGACCACCCCATTAAATCAATGACTCTTTCTTTGTTTTTGAGGCTTGGCCCATTACGATGAGAGAGACAATGTTGATTCTTGATTCCAAAGACCGTGGAAAAGAGAGTTCTTGATCCTCTTTTCGTAGCAAATTATAAATATACTAAGGCTCTGTTTACCTTACCGATTTGAGTTTAGAATTTAAGTTTTGTTACAATAAAATATTTTAAAAAATAATCACATTTAATTTTTTTATTACAGTAAAAAATTATCACATAAAGTTATATATCAACTCGAATTAAAAACTCGAATCAGCGAACTAAACGGGCGGTAAAAAAGGGCTCGGAGGTACTGTTCATGCAGACCAAATTTACTATTCCTTCTACAATGAAATGACGCTTTTGCCCTTTATTTACCGCTCTCTTCCTCTTCTGGTGCAAGGGCATTTTGGTCTTTAGGTGGGGATATCTTTGTCTTTTTGCGTGTCATTAGTTTTTTTTTTTTTTTCATTTGCGCCTCTTTCTTTCGTGCTTTTATTTTTCTGTTCCACTCTGGTTCTCTTCGCTCCCTTCGTCCTCCTGGGAATCCTGCATTTCTCGCTTTGTGCTCTCAATCTTTTCGTTCTATTGGTCTCATTTGGTTGTAAATTTTGGGATTTTATGGATTTTTCCTCAATTTGTTTGCTCCGTCCGGTTTGGTCCCAAATTTGGGGCTTTTGTTTTTCCTTTTTTATGGGTTCCTTTGCTGCTTTGAGTTCTGACTTACATTTGATTTTCTTTCCGTTCTTCGTGCATGCCTCTCTAATTTCTCCCCATCTTTCTGGATTTGTATCTTTTCTGCTCCTTTTTTATTTGGAAAAAGGGACTTTTGGGTTCTTATTGTCTCCTGTTGATTCATTTTGGTTTTGTTCTCATTTTCGTGTCATTTAGGTTAAAAGTTTGAGGGATTTTATGGATTTTTTCTTTGTTCGTTCCTTTCCTTTGATTTGGCCGAAAATTTGGGGGTTTTATTTGTTTTTTCTTTCATGTTCCTAGGCTGCTTCGATTTGTGATTCATGTCCGATTTTCTTCCCGTTCTTGGGACCTCTATAACTTTTCTTCGTTGCTTATGATTTTGTTCCAGTGCATGTTATCCCCTTACTTTTCTTCGGTTTTTTCTCATTTGTTTTCTCCCGCCGTTTTTTTTCCTTTATTTTTTTTACATGATTGGCTTCTTAATATCTAATATAATTTCCTGATGAGTAATGCATGCTGTTCTGTTGATTCAGGTCCTCCATCCTTTGCTTTCATGGATTTTTTGTCGCAGGACGTCTGTTTGCATGGCTGGAATTTCTCTTGCCTCCTTTTCTACCGCGTATGGGTAATCTCAGATTTTTTATGTTTCATTTATTGACATGCTGAGTTGTGGTGCCTATGTTGCTGATTTGTGTTGCTAGCTTCGTCATTTGCTCTCATTTCACTGCAAAACCAGCGTATTGGTTTTGTGATTTAATTAACAAATTTAAATTTTTTACCCTCTGTAAACCGACTATGCCCTGTTACGTGTTGTGTTATTATATGTTGCTCACTGTTCATACATGCTTTTTGCTTCCTTATTTATGAAGAATGTTGCTTTGGATCGATTCATTGTGTTTCCCCTGTCCCTTTCTCTTGCTCTTGCCAGTTTTTCTCCTCTGTTTTATCCCACATCATTTACCGCTTCGTCCCACCCATGATCATTTACTGTTCTGCTCTTTTACTCTTCTATCGTTGACTGCCTATCTTTATCTTTGTTTCATTTCTGATCATTTACTCCGTCATTCCATTTTTCATCATTTACTGCCCTGTTTTCCTATTTCTTTACTTCTGACCATCTCTGAGTTTCTCTGGTTTCCTGATATATCATTGTTAAAGAAGTGTTTGGAGCATTTCAGGTACCATTAATAGCCCTTGCCGATAATTTTTGAATGTTCTTTGCTGATATTGCATGTATTCCTTTCCTGTAGCATTATTGATATGCATTGTTTTCCTTTCATCATGGCTGTTGCTGTATACCTTTGTTGTTTAATTAGTACCTCTTATTCATGTACAATGTTGGTAAAAGTCCTCCTTTATTTAATAAATGCTGTCAATTTCTCTGCGTTGTTTTTTTTTGCCCCCTTTTTTTTTCCCTATCCTTTACTGCTTAAATATGCCTACGTATTTACTTTCACTTTATTTATTTCTTAACAACATACGTGCTTCACCTACCTCTCACTAACATATTTATACACATGTCTTTATCCCGTATACTTTAGCTTTAGGTTCCTTTTTTTTTTTCCTTTGTTTTTTCCCCTTTCCCTCCCTATATGGCAATGATGACTAAACTTGATTTGTACATGTCAGCCTTTATATGATTTGTTCAAAGATTGATGTGAATGTATTTTCCTTATTTTGATTCTATTTTTGTCTTCCCTTACTGATTCATAATTTTTTACTCTTTTTCCCTCTAATTCTTACCTACTCTCACGTTTTAGTCTTTCTTTGGCTTACGTTTTTTTTTATCAGAAGTTAGTTTTATATATATATATATATATATATATATAGTGCCTCTGTTTTTTTGGTTTCTTACAATATGTTCTTCATGATATTAATTTATATTCAATCCCTCATATTTTTCCATTGACTATTCAAGTCTTTGTTTCTTTATCTATATAATATATTCCTTTTCATTCCTATTTTATCCTTCTTCTGTTTTATTGTGAATGATTTACTTGGAATTATTTCTTGTTCCTAGACCCTTATTCTATTGTACATAATAGAGTGCGATAACAGTCTTGCTTTTAAAATTTTCCCCTTTTTCGCCTTGCGTTTTTCCCTCCTGTCCTTTTGTGTTGCTGACCCCATGGCTCCTGTGCTGTTTAAGTTTTTTTTGTTATTGTCTTATTCCTGTTTTGGCCTCAGCTTTTGACTCATTTCATACAAATGGAACTCTACCTTCCTATTTGTTTCCCAATTTGCTCAAGTTTTTTTCATTCATCTGATAGTCTCTGGACAACATCGTATTTTAGTCTGCCTCACCCATTTTACAAATCATTATCAATATGGCAGGTATAACACCTTATTAATCTTCATGCTTTTGTGCAGTTGCCCATATTAGGCAGCCATAAAAGTGCCATAGATATATAAGTTTGTGTGCCCATCATACATTGTTGAAAACAGTGAATGTCTGAGCCATGGTTGCCAACCATTTCTTTAGTGCCTTACATTGTTATATTATAGTTTCATTACTCTTCTTCAACCATTTCTTTGGGCATCCTATTTCTTTGCTTATTTACTTATTCACTTATTCACATCCCTGTATTTAGTGGGATTCTTTATTATTTAATGCTTCATGTGTTTACTGTTCTACCCTTTACGGTTATTCGCACGTCCTTTATTCATATTCGGTCTGTCATACCTAAGACAAATAAATATCTATTTTTATATGTTTTCAGGATGTAAATAGAACATTGTAACATAATAAAGTCGCATATTCTTTGATCTCTATAGGCACGATGATTTATTCAGGACGTGTATAAAATGCTATAAATAGATATTAAAACAATTATGTGCCATCATGGAGTAAGATAAAGCATAATGTACATAGTATTCTCATCACATTTCTGCTCTTGAAAGTTTATTGTACTTATCATCATCATGTAAAATAACCAAACAAAAACATTCTAACATTCATGTTTCATTAGTTCTTTCTTCTCCTTCTCTCCTCTCCCCTTTTTCCTTTTTTCCCCGTGCTTATTTATTACTTCATTTCTTTACTTATTTATTTGTATTTTTCAGGTTTACTATCATTCCCTGCCTCATACTTACTACCATCTGCACTTGCTTCCTTGATATTCAGGACATGGAACTATATTTATAGCACTTAAGGTATCATTAACGACTCTTATCCATAAATTTTTAATCACTGCTACTGATATTGAATCTGGCAAGTTCCTATTGCAATGTTAATGTCTACTATCTATCGCTCCTTATCCTTATTCAGATATTACCAATCAAAGGAGCTGCTAAAAATTTTTCCTTACTGTTAGAAAATATATAGCAAATTACAAATATAAATTTACTATGTCTCTTGCTTTACAAATCAGTGATCCCAACACATTGACCTTTTGTTTCATTTCTTTTTCACTCACATGCATGTACATGTACTTCGCCTTAGTATATTTTAGTCTTGATGATATCTCTTTTCTTAATACGCATATATATAGACTATTGTGACCATGATGATAACCAATTTCCACATATTGAATCCTACATAATTTGTCCAAAAACTGCTCTCAATATCTTCCTCTTCCTTTACTTCTCACTCTATCTACTTTCTTTCATTAAAACTTTTGACTTATTTATTTGCCCTCCTCTTTACCTATTCCAATATCTCTTATCTTTTCTTTTCCTATTGCTATACAATGATTTTCTCCCTCTATTGTCGTTGTCTTATAAAAACATAAAAAACCATTATTGAACACATTCTAAATATATACATTTAATGCACATTATGATCCAATTTATAATTCACTATTCATTATTCATCCACGTTTAACTGACAGCAGATAATGCAACATAATAACAGCCCTGCATCTTTTTTCCTTCTTATTTTCACATCCGAGCAACCATCTTCGTCACTTTCTTAAGCACTTGGCTGTGGTCATACTGTTTTATCTCTATCTTTTTATTCTTTATTTGCTCTCTGCCCGTTCCTTTTATTTTGTTGTTGTTGTTTGGTCACTGTTTTGCCATTCCTATTGGCTATTTCATGGCTACCCAAACTTGCTTCCCATTTCTTCCGCCATTTACATCTGCTTTGCTGCATTTGCTTCCCTTTTAGCCCCCCTTCTTCTCCCCTGTTCCAGGTTTAGTTGACAACAAATAATACAACAGAATAACAGCCCTGCATCTTTTTTCCTTATTTTCACATCTGAGCCGGCTTCTTCACTTTCTTATGCACTTGACTGTGGTCATACTGTTTTATGCCTTATCTTTTTGTTCTTTATTTGCTCTCTCTCTTCCTTTTGATTACTTTATCAGTATGGAACTCTGTTTTTTTGTTGTTTGGTTACTGTTTCGCAATTCCTATTGGCTATTTCATGGCTACCCAAACTTACTTCCTATTCCTTCCTCCATTTACATCTGCTTTGCTTCTTATGCATCCTTTTTTCCCCCCTTCTTCTTCCCCGTGCCCGCAGCTCCACTTTTCTTCATTGATCTTTGTTTTGTCATTCTTTCCCGCGCATAAAAAAACTTCCCCTCCACACTTCTTTCCTTAACTGAGCCGGTGGTCTTTGGACAAATTTATATTTTACTCCGATCAACTATTTCATCTAATACATAATTGACAATATGTGCACCGAATATAATGCCTTACTATTATTTGTGCCTTTGTGTAGTTGCCAATAGTAGGCAGCCACAAACTGTTTACGAGTATATAAGTTCATTGATTCGTCATATATTGTTGAAAATATTAAGTATTTGAGCCACTATTGCTATACAAAAATATTGTAGTACTTATGTATTATAATCCCTTTTACCCTCTATTTTACCTATTTATTTTTCCCCTTATTCAATCACTTATTCATTTATATTTCCTTTGCTTCCCTCTCATTTAATCCCTCATCTTTTTATTGTCATATCCTTTACTTTTAACTACTAAAACCTAACATGATTTGCTTCTTTAATTATTATTGCTTCATAACTTCATTTACGTAGTATACTCTCCCTTGTTTATTTTAGTAATTTCTATTCATCCTTTTTTTCATTCTTCATGTTACTAACTAATTTATTTATTTATTCATTTTTGTTTTGCCAGATATTTTATTCCCTTCTCTACGTTGTTCATAAATTTGTAGGGCTACATTTTATTATAAGACCTATTTAATCTATTTGTTCATTTATAAATGAAGCTGAGAATATACAGATTTATAGATCAATTTATTTATTTATGTATTTTGTCTTCATTAATTCAATGCAGCTATGTAAATTTCAAACTTTCGTTCTTATACATGTTCTAATACTATTTCCTTTATCCCAAATACATAAAGATATCAACGCATAGGGACATAGTTACAAATTTTTTCTTTTACGTGTTCTTTAGTCATGTATTTAACTGATAAATTACCATTATCTTATTAATTCTCTTTGTAAAATATTGCTTGATGGCTTAATTCTAGAATAAACTATAGAACAAATTATAAATGTAGTCACAACTTAATAAATTTGTTATTATAAAATTATTGCCTTTAACATTTCTAACCATTTCCAACGCAGTATAGCCAATAATAAATACGTTAATTAATTAAATTCCTTTTTTGCTTCAGATCTCAAATACTTTGACATTACAAAAGCATATGGATAGGAAAAAAAATTCCTTTTTTGCTTCAGATCTCAAATACTTTGACATTACAAAAGCATTTGGATAGGAAATTAATTCAAAAAAAAACCAAGAAGACGAAATCAATACATACATCGCACCATTTTCTAAACAAATCCAGAGCTCATTGATACACATGATGAGCGCCAAAATCAGACAAACTAAATTGTATAATACGCGTCAACAAGACCATCTCGGTCTAAATCTGATATGATGCTGACACACCTTCAGTCCCAAAGAGAAATCCCTGAATCATCATCTTCCTCAACAGTTGAAAATGACACTCAAAAACGTAATTTCCTCACCTATATTAATTACTGTATTCCAATCATTAAAAAACCTTTACAGGGCAACAATACTAATTTGTTGTATGTTATTTTTATCATTTTCTTTTTCCTACCTTTTTAGGCATTACGAATTCATACATTGGCCTTGGAGATTGCTCTTGCACCTGTCGCCACTGTGGTGCCTTATTTTGGTTCAATGAATGAATCAAAAGCAACAACCAAATTAAATATTATCTTTGTTGTAGAGATGAAAAAATAACTTTACTCTTCATTAAACAAACTCCTTCTATATTAGATAAATTACTTGATTATCATGGAGGATTAAGCAATACACACTTTCGAAAGCGGACAAGTACATTATGAAATAAGATATTTATTACCAATAGATAATAACCGTCCAAAATTTGCACAACTTTATGTCTACGATAAAGAAAACGAAATTGAAAATCGAATAGCAACATCATTCTCAATTGATGATCAACACAAAACTTTAATTCAATTTATAATTGAAAATTTGATCAAAATGGTTAATAGTACAAATAAATTAGTCAAACTTTTCCGAATGATAAGAGATAGATATCAACAACATGAAATACCATTCATGAAACTGAGACTTATAGGACGAAGAAGCACATATAGCAGTCAGTATGAATTACCCACTTTAAACGATATTGGTGACAACCAAATTAAATATTATCTTTGTTGTAGAGATGAAAAAATAACTTTACCCTTCATTAAACAAACTCCTTCTATATTAGATAAATTACTTGATTATCATGGAGGATTAAGCAATACACACTTTCGAAAGCAGACAAGTACATTATTTCATAGGATATTTATTACCAATAAATAATAACCGTCCAAAATTTGCACAACTTTATGTCTACGATAAAGAAAACGAAATTGAAAATCGAATAGCAACATCATTCTCAATTGATGATCAACACAAAACTTTAATTCAATTTATAATTGAAAATTTGATCAAAATGCTTAATAATACAAATAAATTAGTTAAATTTTTCCGAATGATAAGAGATAGATATTAACAACATGAAATATCATTCATGAAACTGAGACTTATAGGACGAAGAAGCACATATAGCAGCCAGTATGAATTACCCACTTTAAACGATATTGGTGGTCTAATAGTTGGAGACATTAGTGAATACGAACAAGGAAGAGATATTATAATCGAAGATAGAACAAGTAATTTACAAAGAATTACAAAACTACATCCATGTTACATGGCACTTGCCATTTTTTCTTCCTTCACTTTACAAAGGTTGTATCAAATCCTGTTCATATTGGCTTTTGTATCCTATATCTCACTACTTCTTATGTCATTGACCTTAGCTTTTCTACCTATTCTCAATAGAAAAACAATATGACTTTTGCTATTTTCCCTTCCATTATGTCTTTATTATACAACTCTTTATTTCTTTATTTCTTTCCTTTCCTGGTGCCATTTTTTCTTCTCTTTTTTTTCCTTCACTTTACCAAAGTTGTATCAAATCATGTTCCTATTGGCTTTTGTATTCTATATCTCACTACTTTCTCTATCATTGGCCTTAGCTGTTCTACCTATTTTTATCTAATTGAAGGCTGAATACAAATTACTTATTTAATATCCTTATCTTGCCTTACTCTATCTCCTTATTTGGGTAAAATGAAAACTTATTACACATTGTTCACACAGGTGGAATTTGGTACTATCCTATAGTCATCTTTGCAGAGTTATATTGTTTCTTTGATACTGTTATTTTTCCCTTCCTTTTAGTTCATCGGGTAGTCTTTGGACATATCTATACCTTACTACGGTCATTTATTCTTTGTTATGAATATAGTATAATCTATATGACAAATGTAATATTTGACTAATTTTTGTGCCTTTATGTAGTTGTCATAGTTGTTGCTATTAGGTAGCCATAAAAATGTCATAAAAATATAAGTCAAATCATTTACCGCACATTGCTGACAATATTTAATGTCTGAGACACAATCACTACATAAAAATGTTATCACTCTTAAGTTATCAGTTTCTTCATATTCAATTTTTTTCAGCACTTATATATTTACTCTTTTGATTAATCTATCTTTTGCTATCGCTCTTTATGTCATTCGTATTAGCAAATACTATTATAGGAAATCTTTTGTCAAATGCTTGATAGATGACGCATGACTTGAAGATAGGAAAATATAGATATAAATTCTTTATTTTTTATTTTTTAGGCATATAATATATATGTCTATATATGTATATGTATATATACACTAATACTGTACTTTTCTCTGAACATATAACATCCAATAAAATTTTTTTGATAAGCATATAATATACATATGTCTATATATGTGTATGTATATATACTAATACTGTACTTTTCTCTCAACATTTTACATAAATCTACATATATATATATATATGTATAACCTGATATTGCACAAAAAAACTTTAGACTTTCAATACAATAAAAATTTTCCCCGCAACGCGCGGGCACAAGACTAGTTTGGATTGAAAAATGACAACTCCTTTATCCAATACTGACGGAACTAAAAGTAAAAATCTTTTATGAAACTAAAACAAAAAGAAACTGTTACTTCACTGAAGACAAAAATGACAACTCCTTTACCCAATATGTGAACTTTATATTTTTTAGCTCCATCACAAACTGAAATACGCTAACGTACGATTTTTCTTACTAGACAATAGTTAATAATAGAGTTAATTTCAAAGATAGTCTATAAGATTTACATTCAATCTTATTTTAATTTTTGACTTTTTAAACGTTATACAGATGGTTTTTGAGATTTTATTTTATTTCAGTTTTTGTCTTTTCATTAATTAGGCGTTAAAATTTGATAGAATCTGTGTAAATTAGAGTTTAAAATTAGAAACAGCTAAAATTTTAGGTCTATCTTTGAAAATTAATTTTTAATTTTTTGTATTGCTTTAGTCTCTAACCTTTATATATTTTTAATTTTAGTCTATAATTTCAAGAGATTCTGTTAAATATTTAACACCAAATTAACATAATGACCTAAATTGAAACAGATAAAATCTCAGAGTCAAACTGTGTGATGTTTAAAAAGTCAGGAATTAAAGTGGGATTGAGGCTAAACCTCAAGGATCATTTGTAAGATTAAAATGACAGAGCAAAATTAGTTGAAAATATTATACGATTTACCATTATATTTTTCATGTTTTAATAAGATTTATTCTTTATTTTTGAAACCTACACTTACTTTTATCATATTTGTTTTCAAACGTAATGGAAGGCAAAAGGTAAATACCGATTTATTCTTTATCCAATACTTATAGGACAAGTTTGTTTGATTGTACTAGAGCACCACATCATATAATAACAATACAAAATAATATACTTTATTTAATACAATAAAATAAAAGCCACCAAACTTGGCTTATAAGAATAAGATTTATTTTTAGACGAATTATACATTTTTTCTCGAATTATAGGCCTTATCACAAAATGTTCCTGAACTTTAGTTTTAACTTTTTTCCCTTTAAACTCTAGCAATTCTCGCAAATTTTCTCCCTGTTAAATTCTTACTTATGTTATTGTTGTTGGCTTCCATTGATGAACTTCCAAAGTTCTTTATGTCAAGTAAATTAAGAGAAAGTTAGTGTAATAAAAAAAATGACAGCTCCTACTGCGTAATTGTAATTCTGTGTGACCAATAAGAAGGGAAAAAATGACAGCTCCTACTGCGTAATTGTAATTCTGTGTGACCAATAAGGAGCAAACAGAGTAATTATGTACTAAGACACTTATTATTTGTGTAATATGTATTATTTCGGTTAAAAATATTAATATGAGGATTTTTTTGGGGTTAGTTTTTGTATTTTTCATGACATTTTCCTCTAAAAATTTAGTTGAGTGGAAAAGTTTGTAATAGTTGTTGAAGTTCGATGGGGAAAAAGCTAAAAATAATGTTCTAGAAGTATTTTGTGACAGCCTATAGTTAAGAGAGAAAACCTATAACTTGTGTTTTTCTTTTGGTAGGATTGAGACTCGTGCTGATCCGATTTGCCTTGGTTCCAACAATGCATGAAGCGTAGCCTTATAAGGAGTGGTAGCAGAGGTGAACGTTTGGGCCATCCGGCCCGGACACAAATGGAAATTTAATATTTTCATTGTCTGGCCCTGAAATTTATAAGGTATTTTTAAGAAAAATTCATAAAAAGGTGTTGCTTGGTCTAAATAAGATTTCAGACTTCGAAA